GATTTTTTGAGGGGTTAAATCACAATCTTCGTTAGATGGCTGTCATCACCATAATGCTTTTGCGCTTTGGAATTTAATGAATTTCATGTATTTATTCTCATAACCTCCTGTTGTGCAAATACTATATACCATGATACACATGACAGTGTTAGATGGAACACAGATTATCAAAAGTATTCCGATGCCTAATTTCTACTGATTTTAATGTGAGCTTGAGTGCCTGAACAGAAATGGCAGGAGCCTCCTGCGCAGCGGATGGAAGCACTTGGGCCATCCTCTAACCTGCAGGTAAGGAGTGGAGCAAAGCAACCGATCTGAAGGAGGAAAAGGTGAACAGATCACAGAGGAGGAGAAAAATGCACTAGGACCGATCCTCTTTAGCTTCTTTTGTGGCTGTGAGATAGATCTTTGGAAGAAGAAAGAGAAAAGGTGTTGGAGGATAAACCTGTTAAATTATCATATTAAAAAAAAAAAGAAGGAAATCCCTTACATTTGACAGTAGCGAGGCAGAAGAGGAGGACATGGTGATACCAGGCTTCTTACGGGAAAATTATGAAAGTAATACTTGGCCAGTAAAGCCCCAACTGACACAAGAGTGTGCTGGGATGGACACGCAAGCATACTTTTACAAAAAGCTGTGGCAGGGAAAAGAAGGTGAATTTATGTTGCTGTTTTAGAGGTTTTGTTTTCTTTTACATATTTTTTAAATCCCCATCCAGATATTGGTCAGGAAAGATGTACATTTTCCTCACGCTCTAGCAGTGTCTAGGTTGAAGAGATGTCACCTAAGCTTATCTTCACTCTGGGTCTGCTTACAACAGCTTCTCCAGTTTAAAAATTCTCAAGTATCTCTCTCTTACATTTAAAGAAAACAGCGTGTCAGCAGACAAAGTGAATTGAGGGTTTTAATTGTTATTCGTAAAAAGAAGTTTTTTGAAGCAACTGTGGGTATTACAATTCCACCTTGAAGTCTAATCCGAGAGCAGGAGTGCTAGTGTTGCGTAACAACTAAAATAAACACGATGGAGACCTACTGTTACTTAAATGTGGACAAGTTGGACCAGCTGTGTAACAGTCAATGCTTCTACAGTAATAAACGTTGACAGCAAAAATAAAAAGAATGCATTACTGAGACATCATCAAATGAGCCCTGTCATTACATGGAAACTCCACCCTGTATAAGCTTGTCAAAAAGTGTTACTGTAATCCTTTGAGAAGCCTCCTCCTCAGGCAATGGAGAAAAAAAATGTTCAGGATCGGCCCAGAACAGGTGTGTTGCGCTGTAATGCCAGGATTTAATCACGAATCTCTTCACATTAATCTCACAAAGGAACTAACTCGGATCTATTTGCGCCCATCATGCCACGCTGAGACGATTATTTAACTATCCAGTTAAAGTAAGCAAGCTAACAGGGCGTTTAAAAATGGACATTCCAGGGCGTACAATATTTTACAATTATTATTTGTTTTCCTAAGTCCAGCATCAGGCACTGACACTTAAGAGGAACCGATACTACGTGCTCTTTTCAAAGTCAGTCCCCGAAAAATCTCAGTTCACACCTAGTAACAGCACCAGTAGTTATCAACATTTGTGGGGTGGGCCAGAGGAGCAAACATGGCTAGAAGAGGAAAATAGGTCCATCAGATGTATGAAATCATTAGTGTAGCCTCACAGAAATTTTGCGTACACAGTCTGAGGGTGGACTTCAGACCCTAGACCTGACTGCATCCTGGCCAACAGGCCTTGCTGCTGTTGATGCCACTGAACCCACCATTTAATTATCCATTGGCCTCTTCTTATCAGAAGCACTTATCAGTGAGCACAATGTCAGTACGCTGCCGGCCACATTTTATTGTTTGTGGCTTGTTACGATGGCAATTTAAGTAGGAAACTTATAAAAACAAGACAGCACAACAGCTAGACCACGTATCTACAATGGCACATCAGCAGTGTGGTCCAAAAGAGGCAGGAGGCTTCCAAAATGTCATCTGGTCAACGCAGCTGATAGGCAGCAAGGAACAGGCCCAGTGGTTCGCGACTGACCCAGAAGCCTTGGAGGGGCAGGGAAAAGAACGGGACGGCAGATTGATCTCCCTTTCAGAAAGCATGGGAGAGAGAATGGGTGCCTAAATTACACACTATTGTACCTCAAGACAGGTACGTTGGGTTACTATGAGTACACACGTTCATCTCAATGGTTGTAAGGTATCTCTTTAGAGATTAGGTAAGAAAAAGCTTAATCAAACACGGTATACAAATCTAAAAATGAAATCCAATTGCTGGTTAAATGACAGTGTTTTAGCACTTGACATTATAGAAATATGCCCCGAATTTGCCTGATTAAAATTTTATGAGGCTAGACCAGTAAACTTTACGAGGCTACACCAGTAAACGTTACTAATACGTGGATACAAAAGCACAGGCTTTAGCTAACCATACTATTACCACCAGCTAACGAAGCGACCCACTTCGCTCAGGTGAGATGAGTCGCTGACGCTGTTCTGAGCATCCTGCCTACACCATCCACCGATGATCAGCGCCAGGGAACTGACTGTAAAGCGATGCCTGAACAGCTACAGCCAATGTCACGGCGACCACCTGTACCATCAGCCGGCGGTGGTAACAGTCATCCTGTACGGAAACAGCCATCAGAGGGCACTGCGAAACATGCTGTGCTAAACACAACTCTGCAATAGCTGTGTTGGAAGCTTTCGTGTGCATGCAAGTTAAAAATCCAAAGTGGAGAAGTTCAGCTGCATAAACGGACTCATTAATGATTTCATGCTGTTATTTACAGGTGTTTCCAGTTTTATTTCTCTCTCACACACACTTCTGTTTACAGCAAAGCTATATAGATGACTTCTCTTTTTAAAACACAAAAGAATTTTCTGCTTATCTTCTTGTGGTTTTATGATGACTTATTGTTGCTATTAAGAAAACAGTAACAGAAACCGGACTCTGTATCCTGTTTGCTCTTGTAGTATTTGGGAAAAAAATGGCACCAACTGCAATAAGATCTTAAAAAAGAAAAGGTGTTGATGTTTGAACACTTGAAGTTGTCAAGTACAAGACTTACAAGAAAGCTACATGTTATGTAGCAAACCACAAAAAGACAATATTTTTTTTTTCAGGCTAAAAAAAGCCCTCTATTGAGTACAGACTGCTTGTCAAATACTCCCTCTCTGGAATAGTAATTTCATAAAGGGAGGTTATTTTTTTGCTTGTAAACTTCCTGCTTCAAAGGCGAAAGTGTCTGAGATCACCTTTTCAATGTGCTTGTAACAAGTGGAGCCAAGGTATAAGTAAATATCCTATTTGTGTATAGAACCCATAGCATCTGAAAACCTGCCCTCAAAGTTTATGAAATTTTCCATTAGTTTTCTGAATGTCAAAGTGTGTTAGAAAAAACTCCCCTTGGGGAAGAAATGTCACTGGTTGCTCTCAGTGACAGAAAAACAAAAGGAAATGTGAGAAAAGACTACAGAAGACTTGGATGGAGGTAGATTTTAGAGGAATGCATAAAAATTAACTTTCCATTCTCCCTACATATGTAGAGCACTTAGACTAAAGAGGTCAGGAGACATCCATATCACCACCGTGGGGACATACATTACCGGACCGTCACTGTTGGTGGCCATCCAGTGAAGGACCCACAGCAGCAGAAGCCAGTTCCCACTTCTGCGATCATGGCCTCAAGGCAAGCTTTGTCTCACACCCAGATTTTTCTCAGTTGCAAACCCACCTGGTCTTATCTTAACAGGATGAGTCTATCACTATCTCACCTGCTCCCACCTTCTGCTCTCCTAAATACTGATGTCCCCCACTCTGGACAACTCTTCTGGTCTCCTGTTCCTCCCTCTATTCCATTTCTGTCACTCCTACCTCTAGTTCCTTCTCCTGTCCCTTATTTGCTCTTATCTCTCTGCCCTTGTATGCTTTTCTTTCCTTCTGTTTTCTTCCCTTCTATCAGCTTTTATAGTTTCTAGTTCTGAACTTTTCTTGTATTAAAAAACCCCATACCTGACATATTTCTGTTAAAATGCAACAAAAAATTCAATTACATTGTGCCTCGGATTTTTGTTGTAATCCTCTGAGCTGGTTTTGGCTGGGATAGAGTTAATTTTCTCCATATTGAAATTTGTATTCAGTATTAACAAAATTAAAGTCAATTTCTTTACCAGTGAATTACAGGTAGCGTAAATAAAGGAGAAAAAATGAACTACAGATATTGTGCAGCTACTGTGCCTTCATATTATTATAACCATAATCGGTAAATCTCGTACTAATGAGATACAAGATTTAAATGTGAAGAATGTGTTTAGTGAATTATTGTCAATCAATGTCTATACAACAGGCTAAGAATAATCTTGAATGGCAACACACGTATTATTATAAATTCCTAACTAAGTACTTCATTACTTCAAAATGTCACTCTCAATTTATAGAGTAACAGATACACATCTCTCAACTGTATACCTCACTGTGTCTACTTCTATGTAATTGAAACACTGTTTTTGAAAAGTCTTGTCATCTCTTACCCATTCTGCGTTGTTCTGAATGGTGATTCAGTACTGGCGCAGTTCTGGTTTTTAAGGTTGTTCTTCAATCCTCTTATAAACGTATACATTTAAGATACATGAATCTATTTTTGTTTTCTACCTATGACTTGCAGTTGGTCATTGGGAAAAAATCTGATTGCAGTTTCCTTGTATGAGCATATTAAGCTCTATAATACCACTGTAAATATAAACAGTTACTCATGACTAATGTTCAGAAAAAGGAAACAAACTGAAAATGACAGTAAGCCAATAAGGAGGAGGTTTTTTGAAAGACCCAAATAAATACATAAAGGAGACTTAACATTTTTAATCTCTGATGATGGAAGAGACACTAAAACACATCATACCCAACCTCACTAGTTAAAGAAACATCTGGTTGATTCTGCACCCCCGTGATTTGGGGAATCCAGTAGGTTTCCACAGTAACTTTCAAAGCTCACCTCATCCTTTATGTCTTCCTGCTGCTGGGCACTGAAGATCTCCATTGCAGCCATCAGCCTCATCATTAGCTCATCCACCGTTGTGTTACCTAGCAACAAAGAAAGATAGCTGAACTTCATATCATTAAAGTTATTAAACACAAAAGAAGTAATTTTAGAATTAATCCATAAGAAATAGCCAGGCTTTAAAAAATATATGACAGAGTAGAAAATGCAAGTATCTCAGCAGAATGGTTTTAGTTTGGCTTTTTATTGAAAATTCTAAATTGTTTTTACAAACAAATGTTGATCATAGGCTAAAATTTTAGGTGGTTCAAATCCAAACAATTGCTTGCATGGAATAACTCTATTTTTTCTTTTAATCACCGATGTTAGAGGAAAGAGTTATAACCTTTCCTAGATCTGAGGTTCCCTGACATGAAATTGATTTTACAGTTTTAGAATTCCCGGGTATAAACAGGCAGACTGAAGCAATTGCTTAGTCAGGTAACAAAAGGCAGGATGTTGGCAGCAGCATCCAAGTGGATTGGTTTAAAAAAAAAAACAGAAAAGAACAGACTACAGTGATTGAATAGATGTGTGTGCATGCGTTTTTATGCAGGTATAACTAGTAGTAAAATTTCAAATAGTATAATATATTCTTTAGAGTGTATTTACTTCCAATGAAACTTGTAAAGCTAACAATAGTGGAAAAAATACATAATCTATGTACATATCAAGAAATACACCACATGCATAGGAAAAGAGATATGTCATCAGATTTTTCTAGCAGTGTGCCTCCAGTCTTCAGTAAAACTGAACAGTTAGTTTAATTTCCTACCAAGATGCATTCAGTCTTTGGTTTCTTCTCTTAGGCTGAAGAGTAGATTATCCATTAGAGCCACTTGTCATAGTAGTTAAAAGATTTCAGACCATGAGAAATGGTCTAAGACTATGAACTCTTAACATCTGCCAACCTAAACAGCCTTTGGACCCTAGCAGAACAATACCAACAAGAGCTAGATTTATAGCAGTGATGATGGTCAAAATTTTAAAAGGAGTAAACTAACCAGAAGCCACAGCACCGCTAAAGAAAACAAAACTGTCCCCATAGTTTCCAACCCCAGGAAAAAATAAAAATCAAAAGCAAACTTAGACAGCCTGCATTTCAATAAACGCCACTGGGACTTAAGTTTCTATATAGTTGTATCTCTTCTGTAAACATGCCTTCTCACCCAGCCCTGAAAAGCCCTCATTGTTCCTATTTCCAGCATTTGCTACCTTAGCAGAAAATGTTATCCCGCATGCTACAACACGCATGACTTCAGAGACTAACATTCATTTGAGGGCATATTGTGAAAAGATGCCATTGTCCAATTCATGGGAAAATAACAAGCACAGCACGTTTGATATTTGTTAAAAGATAAATTTAAGTAAGGCTGCAGTACATGATCAGTTTAGTTTAGTTCAAAAGATTGTTTGCAGAAAACCTGAAAAATCATTAAAACTTAATGAATGCAATGAAATAATTTGGATTATTTTATAATATAAAGCTGCATTATATTATGACTTTGAGTCGCCAAGTTGCTAAAACACTTAAGTAATTTAAGCCAGTAAGCACCACTGACTTCAGTGGGATAACTCAGGTGATTCAAGTTATACACATGCTGAACCATGCTGCAGAGTTATAAAACCCAGAAAATCAATTTAGAAAGTTAGGGGTATGAAATAAGTTTTCTAAGTGACAGAAGGACCATGAATTAGTGTCATGCTGTACCTTGCACTAAGGAGACAAAATCCATGCAAAATTCACAATTCTGGCCATAGGAAGGACACTGCAGATTCCTCCAGAAAATGATTAATCCCATATGCAAAAAGAAACAGTAATGCTGTCTGCAAAAGGCAGTATTTCCCGAGGCTGAATTTCCTCAGGAAAATAAAGAGATTAGAATAAAGATTGCTAGATATAAGCAATAAATAAATGAGGACGCAGTGTCATGAAGGCAAACTTGTGGAGAAAGCAGAAGAAAGGAGCAGCCGCCATTCTTTGATGTATTTTAATTTGAAGAGTTACTGAGAACAGCAGTCAAAGGGCATCACTCCACATCTAAGTCATCTTGCTGTCAGTGAAATCAGAGGAATGGTTATGCCAGAAAGAACTGCTCATATAAGCCAGAAAGCTTCATTTATGTGAGCATATATTAGCAACTTAAAATTCTGATCTGATTTGGGGTCTCAACACTGCAGGCAGGTCCAAAAAAGCAACTCATGGTCAAATATCAGCCCACGACATGCAACAAGAGTCTACAGGTGAACAAGGAACCACACGCAGAGCACTAAATGCTCTTCAGCACTACACACAAAGTGCAGTCAAAATCTTTTGGAAATCAGTAATTTATATGAATATAAATTTGGAAAACTAAGTGTAGCTCCTTATTTAGGAGCTTTGGCTTCTACTTTAAAAAAACCTGAAAAAGTTGCACTACGATTCTCCTGCAGACATGGCGGCTTCAATCTCTAGTACTATGTTAATTAACACATTTATGAATAGTTGCTATTTCTACCATGGCAACTGAGAGTTTCTTGTGTGAAATGCATTCATATTCTGAACACCTTAAAAAAGAAATGGTTAGCAAAGATGTCTTTTAACAGTTTCAATACTCATATAAGAGCTACTTTTAATATAAAGTGAGAACTGTACCTTGTATTACATTCAATACTTCATTAGACGATCGTTTTCCCATAATGATAAGGAAAAGTGGAAACTGGTCTGTCTTCTGAGTTCGGATTGTTTGGGCTACAACACTCCCGAAGTGTCTAGTGCACATCGTCAGAAATCTATGTGGGCAGGAAAAAAAAGTTAACGTAGAAATGTTTTTGAAGTTAGTTTAAAAAAAAAATTACTCTAAACTCAGCAGTTTAACTGAGTGTCATCTACTGTTTAACATCTAGGCTTCTGCATTCAATTCTACAGCTCTTTTTCCCTTCTTCTGATTAAATTATGAAAATATTTACAAATATGATAGATCCCATATTGTCTAAATTAAAACAATTAATAACTGGTTGAGATGGCGATTTATTTGATGGAGAATTCCATTTCATGTTACAGTATTCTGCAGGCTATAATTCAAAACTAACCCCTCCAAATAATCATGCTAAATCAATTGTTAAAAACTTCTAAAGAGAAACTAAGCAGAGCCATAATCTAGTAAACATCGCAAAGTATAAAAATAGTATAATTTCATACGAAAACAATCTAATAGTGAAAGATCAATAAATTGTTTTTATCAGTCACAGAATTGAAACGTGGTACTTCAGAATTGTATTTTCTTTTGTACTAGTGCCCTGCCAGTGACATACTTAGCAGTGTGGTCTAAAAACAATAATTCTAAGCTTTTGACCAAAAAAAGCTCTCGGATATTAGCATACAGAAGTCTAGCATTAGTATTCTTAACACGATCTTGAATAAATGAAAAAACTGATAAAGCTTTTCTCTTCCATTAGAGGACTGTTTGAAATTAGCATTTCTTTCAAGAGAAAAGGGTAGCTTATGATATGTTTTCAGATCTGATGGTAAAAAGTAAATGTCATAATAATAATGAATTATGAAAGACCAAATGCAAATATAGAATGCTTTAATAAGATCCAATTTAATAAAGTCTGTAAAAATAATGGACTTTTAATAACACGGGTCACAAAAGGCAAAACAGTGGAAATTCTGAGGACTAGCCACTGGTACAGGCTTATTAATTCTTAATTATGTTCATGAAAGGCAACTTAAATCGTGTGTTTTCTTATGCCTTATGATAATATTTTAGGTAACAACTACTCTGAAATGTATGCTCTAACTGAAGAGCAAAGTCCTGTTGTCACATGCATTAGAAGCCAAATCTATTTGAAAAGACAAACTGCATTAAAATGTCAAGCGCTCCAAGTCATTTCTTCTCAAAGATACTGAAAAGATTCAAAATTGTAATTTTTTTAATCGTTACATATTGTATCTAATAAAACGGCTAAAAATTGATAAGCCTGATGAGCACAACATTGGGCTTGTTTGAGGTGCCTGAAGTATAAAACCCTCCCCAGAGACAATTTGTAGTATAACTACGGCCATAGCTGGATGGAAGGCAATGAGCAGGGGTACCTAGCGAGTATTTTGAAGCCATAAATGTTACCTTTCCTTGCCTCCTTGATTCTCTGTCTTCTGCAATTCAGAACTATCACACAGAAAGCTAATGTAAAGAATGCCAAATAGGGACTGCTATATCAGAAATAGCTACGTAGAGACGTACCATCTGGTAAAGATAGAAGAAAGTGTCCATAAAGTCTGGACATATAAACTCTGAAGCTAAATAATGGGGGTTTTTGATTTTTGCTTTTTAAGGTGGGAATACGTAAGTGAAATTTTGGCCTCACAGAAGTCAACGGTGATCTTTCATGTCAACGTGACTTATGTGCGGTCAAGGTTTCACTCCTGAAAGTAATAAAGACAAGGGTCAATTGAACTGAATTCCTGAAACTTGTGTATTAAAACTGTTTAACAGTCTTCAACATGCCACAGAAGAAAAGCACTCAAGTTTCGTGTGAAAACAAAATATTTAACTGGAGGTGAAAAAGTGCTGCAGAGAAAACTGATAGAAGGAACGAAACTAAGAGATTATTGCAATACTAGTCAAAGGTGTTGGTTTGGTTTATGGGTTTTGGGTTTTTGGTTTCATTTGGTTTTGGGTTTTTTGTTTTGTTTTTTTTTAATTAATTGTCTATTTAGTCAACCCATAACTCAGTCTCAAAATATGCTTTTATAGGTATGGATTTTGTATGCAGAGAAGTCTGAGCGAAGTAGGTATTTCAGTACGTTAAAAGATCTCCCAAATAAATTTTTTTCCAGGAGATGAATTTTATATGTGAACTTCTGGCTGACTACAGAGAACCTAGCAGATTATGATACCTTGGCATCCTCTACAATCAAGGCTGGGAAACACACAGGTTTGAACTCCCTGCCTTCAGAAGATGGCATGTCCTGCCAGGCCATTGTAAGGGGACACATACTTTCCTGGTTGAGTAACAGCAGAACAGTTGCCGGATGCCAACATCTCTCATCATGGTGTTTGTTGGGGCCACTTCTTAAAGCCCCTGGGGCCACCCGCCCCGCTCTTTCAAATCTCCTCCCTTCCTCTGCTACCGGCGCAAGCTCAGCTCGCAGGGAGAGCGGCCAGCTCGCTCACGTACCAGTTACAAGAGCGGCACATGCCAGTTTTGACCCAAATGCCACAGATTTGCCACCGCTGCCATCAGGCAAGCCTTTGTCTGTCTTGGAGGAGGAATGAGAAACTATTCTTCCTCCCAGCACTTCCAAATTTGAATAGTGAAAGTCCAGGTGACAGCGTGGACAGCTGCGGTGAGGATGTTCATCAGGGATGAATGACCAGCTGGTGGTTATGGATGGGTATCTTCAGAGCAGAGCAAATATACACCAGAAACTCTTCTCACTAACATGATCCACCAAAACAGATCCTGCCCTTAGGAACCAAGTAAGACCCCACTTGTCTGTTGAACTAAAACGTAGTAAAGCCAACAAAAAAGTGAAGGAAGTCAAATGCTGTAACACTGAATAAAGACAGAGCAGCAGCAATCTCCAACGCCTACACCGTGTAACTCCTGTTCACCAGCGATTACTCGCTCACGTGCTCCTTGCCGGGGCAGTGGTAAATGCTCAGCAATAACTCGTAACACATCTTTTCATTTTACCAGATAGGCAGGAATTGAATTTTCATTCATGAACCCTGTTCAGTTTTTCTCATGCCTTTTAACAGATTTTGCAACTACTTAACTAATTTTGCATTTTTTTCCCTTTCTGCCTTTATAGATTCTGTATTTGCAGACCTTTTTACCTTTCTTCCACATTCATATCCAGCAAAAAAAAAAAAAGTCTCCTCTGTGCTAATATTTACTGTCAGAAGTATGTGAGTAGGACCAAACCAATTTGCTGCCATAACCAGAATCTTACTCTGTACCTCACTAACAAGGGATTTTCTTACTTTCATCTAAACAGAAGCGTGCCAGATCTTTCAGTGGCATCTCCAGAGCTGCCAAGAGAACTGCCTGCGGAGTGCATCAAAGAGCCAGATGTCCCTCTGGGGAAAACTGTTTTCCACAACACGCTGGATTACTGTGATCTCCAACCAAAAGTGGAAATGGAGGAACGCTGCCAGAAAGGGAGGGCAAATGGCACCCTACTAGTCCTTTTATTTTTAAATTACAAGAAATATTCAAGGAGGGAGAAATACAAAAAAAGACAAAAAAGCATTTTATGAAGAAAAAACACATTAAAAAAAATCTCAAAAGTTACAAGAATAAACTTCATCAAGAAAAGTAATAGTTTTGGCAGACAGCTTCATTTCTTTACTTCTTTCATGACTCACTAGCAATGAAACCAGCAGTTATTAAAGCTACAGAACAAACATGGACACTGCCCATGGCTTGACAAACACAGAAAGAAATCCTAAAAAAAAATTACAGATTTATCTTCATTTTTAAAATGTAGATTGAACAGATATTAATTCTTAGCCAGGGTTCACTCGTTAGTTAGAAGGGGCACACAGGAAAAATTATTCTGCTGAAATGAAAATGTTAATTTGGGGGGGGTGCTGCTCTCTGCAGTTATCCCTCCACACGCACTCTGAGATAACCTATGCGAAGAGTTAGCATGTTTGCAGCACATTAGTTTTCCAGAGAAGAATGTTATAATTCCCAGCTAGCTAATATGTGACACATTATATTAAAATACACTCCTGGCATAACTTTTTTGTAATTTTATCATAAAATGCAATTTATTTAACATTACTTTAAAAAAAAAAAAAAGCTCCTAGAAGGCCATTATGAAAAAATAACAGCTTTAAAAATCTACTGAAAAAAGTTTAAAATACTACTGAGTCTCCAAACCAAAGGGAATACTTACTACAGCTTAGGTCTGTGGTCTGCCACAGCTCCTGATCTCAGATACGCTGTGCAGAACTTTGTAAATGCTGGGGTTTAGCAATAACATGTTTCTGTGAGAATATGCAGCTTTCAATTTTTAACAACAAAATTAGCCACCCCTGGCCGAAGTGCTGATCATCAAAAGTGTTGATGTCAGAGCTCAATATTTTTTTGATCTCTGGAAAGCGTTTGATCTATATGATACCTATTTACACCACAAAATATGTATTGCCTTTGTGGGGGGAGCCCAAAGGAGAAAGCCAGCCCCTAGGTGGGAGATGGCAGCTGTTCCCGCGGGAGGTGTTTCATCATTACAATGACTGGCATTATCTCATTGTTTCTTTATGTATCTCCTGCTCGTGTATTAGCTTGTTTCACTTTTTTTCCTTATTCATATTGACAGAATCTACTGCAGTCAAGCTTGGATCTGTGATTATGCAAGATCCCTCCTTACCACACCACGAATCTGAACAAACAAAAAAAGCTATGATGCTAAATACTTTAGAAAAACATAAATATTCCTTTAATATTTCAATTTGAAGAATTTAGTAAGCTAAGAGCATCTCTGGTGCCCAGTCCCTAAAGGGGGCACAAGGCAGAGGCGCTCACTGCCTCCCACACTGTCACGTTGTATTTTCCAATATGAACTTGTTCAAAGTGATTCCTACTCTTACCTAGTAGAGGAAGAATTTACAAAGAACTGAAGAACTAAAGAGGAATTAAAGGAAGAATTTTGCAAAGAACTGACGATTCTGAGCAACAAAAGTCCTCTGCCTTTCCATTAAAAGTCACAGCGCAATGCGGCACTGCTGCCCTTGGCCTTGATGCAGCGGAAGGACTCTAAAAGAGCAGAGGGATTC